ACTGAATAGAAATCTTGTTTTACCCTGATTAACTATTATGTTCAATGGTTAAAAAGTGATATGATCATGACTGTTATTTAAATCTTGATATCAACTAACTACATTCACGATTTTCCAAGGATGTCAGGCTTTTTCAGGATGTCAAATACATGCCACTTTATCCTATACTTGCCTGCATATTTATATAAAAATAAATAAATGAACATTTTGAAAATTGGAGTTGGGTGTAAATAAGTGTAGAGAGGTATAAATCGGGGAAATTGTATGGAGAAAGATAAAAAGAAAGAGCTGGCCCTTAGAAGAATAAGGATATAGTATAATGACCATTGGATTTATAAAAGCACGTTTAGTGAACCCATGGTAGGAATTATTGCGTGGTAGCTTACTAGGAAGGCATAGTAAAATTTGAATGGAAAAGAGCTTATATAGTCATGTCAAGGCAAGGTCAATTTGCATGTATGGTTGATTTTCAATGAATAGAAAATGTCGAATTTATTCGTTATTTACAAACAGGTTTGTAAATAACAAAAGGAGGTTTGAGCTCAAACCTTGCTTTGTGAATTCGGGCCTTTGTGTCCTTTCTTCCCTACGGTTGGTTGGACTCCCCGCCATCGTTTTGGCCATTTTCGTAATGTTATCAAATTTAACAAAGATTCAAGCATTAAATTTGATTACATTACGAAAACGGTCTATTGATTTCATTCCAATAACATCGGTTTTACTAACATATTACAATTTATGGGTGCTTCTTAAAGGTACTATGTCCCATTTGCAGGCCAAAAAAATGAAAAAGTTAAATTCCAACTGCATTTGAAAGATAATACTTATTTAGAACTTCCCTAAAAAAGGTGGGGCTTGAAAATGTCTTAAGTGGGAAAATAATGACTATTAGTTTTCAAATCGACTTTAGGGCTATAGAGCCCAAAATTAATAGTCTTGATTTTCAGACAATTGTACCGAATGGTCATACGTTTTATGCTGCGCAAAGATTCAATCAGTTTAATCTTGGCCATCACAAGAAGTGGGTATTGATGTAGACAAATGCTCATGTACCCTTTAGTCTTCACAACTCTTTTCAGGTATGTTATTACCAAAGAAGAAAAAAAGCCAGTCAGTCATTCAATAGTGTCTGACAGTGAAGTCTAGCAAGTAAACGGGTTTCCTTGCATAATTTGAATATGAGGACACTGCTAACGTTTAAATTTCACAGATAGGACATACATGACATATTCATAATTCCTGCAAAGTTCTACAGAATTTGAGGTTGGCTGCAAAAGAAATAGTACCTTTAAGGATCTAGTGACGAGTTATCCATTAAACTTTAATTAATGAATGAACTGCAATATTTGGAATACAATCTACATACATTACTTGTTGCTTTGTCGGGCAAGCCTCTGGCAAGCTTCCAGGTTGTCACCTTTGCTTAAAAAATATGCATAAACTGTTAGTGAACCCTTCTATTGATTTACCATGTTATCTATAAAAATTATAATAATTAAACACTCATGTATAGACATTGTTCACCCTAACTCCATGTACATGTATGATGTAAGATATTACTTGATACGAGGCATGTACGTAGCTGCAAGTCTTGTATTAATTCATCTTCTATAAGATTGCTCACACGAGAGGTAATAGGCCTATGTTTGTCGGGTTAATAGATTTTAGAGTATTAGTTTTCTTGATGAATGTAATTGATCTATAGGTCAACCAATCAATCAGTTAGTCAGTCATTCATTCAAATCTTTCTATAGCTTTTAAATATCTGATTAAGAGGTCAAGATAGCTTGAGATATAATACGTTCCATCGGTGAAATCGTTTTCTTTTGCAATATATTATGCTGTTCTCGTAATTCTTTACTCTGAAATCTATCAACATCGCTCTCCTCCGAGCGACGTTCTGCTTCAGCACAGGATAGTTTATTCTTATCAATGGCGGATGCATCATTACAAAACTATATGCAGGCTTTTTACGAGCAGACTTGGTACAGATTGGATCAAGAATGGGTGACGAGAGAAATACATTTGTGACCCCTTTGAACGTTATTAACATTATGCTATCTTCAGTAAGATAAGTATGTCGTCCCAAAGTGAAATAAATCAGATCATTTGATTTCATGTTTAATGAGACAATCAGATATTCAAAGTCCAAATTGCATGGGGCTCTTTGGTGGATACATTTTACATCTTTAATGTTGTTGTTGTCTGACGCTATTCATCATCTCTTTCAATGGGGCAGCAAACACCAGTACTTCAGGGCCCACAGATCTTCCTAGATCGATGAACTTCGACATGCGCAAGTGAGTCGAGAACAAAGTTAGAACCCATCAAGGAAGGCGTTTATGGTCGGTCTTCTTCTAACCTTTCTTTTCCGTTCTATTTTTTGTATACTTTTGTCTATGTTTTACCGATAGGGGAATGTGCCCCTTGGTTTTTACACCTCTTATTATGTCTTTAATCATAAGAGGTTCGTACATTTATACCGAAGTAATCTATTGTCGAGAGAGTTACACCTCCTTAGGCTCCATTCACATTTGACCTGAACCTGGGTGACCTCTTTTGGTTTACACCGCAGCGGTGGCCAGTTACTATGGTAACGTATACAAACAATGTTCCCATCTCCAGGCAACGCGAGTGTATGCAGAGCTCAGAGCACTTGCCGATTTGTTATGCCTCCCTGAACTTCAGAAGACTGTGACACTGACGGGAGTCTAGTAATTAGTGTTAAAAGTAAACATTTTATACTACCATGGCACTCAGTACAGCGGTAACACTGTTGCTACTACATAGGAAAACACATATTGAAATATATAGTTTCAATGAATGCATGACTATCGGAATTTCACACGTCAGTTCGTACTTCAATTGAGCCCCCCCCCCCCCCCCCTGCTTCAATGTCTATCAATATAACACAGATGTTGTAGCTATGGCTGGGTGTTTCTGTCTGGAAGTTGTGAAAAATTAATCTTAGGACTTCAAAATTAACGTGCTTACTAATCTGTTGGAAAGAGGGCGGAGGAGGAACATAGTTAAACAAGCAGAAAATGGAAAAAATGGGGAGAGAGAGAGGGAGATAGAGGTATTTAGGGAACGGAGGGAGAGAGAGAGAGAGAGAGAGAGAGAGAGAGAAAAGAGGTCGTGGTCACATAAATATCAAATCGATATCACCAGTCTGTATATTATCTTTGATGTATATAAACTAGTCCATAGACAAAGTATTAACTGTCATATAACAAGCCTGTAACCGAAAATCTAATAATACCAACTGGCTGAGTTGGATCTAAAAATAGAATACTAAGGGTTGGTGGCTATTCGGGTTGAAATGAATGTCATTCCAAATAATTCAGACAATAATGGGTTAACTTATTTGGAGCTGAACTTAGATAACTCTCTACAATAACCTCTCCACACCCGCCTGACTTGATATATGCTATATATCAACCCCGATATCAACCTTGTAAGAAAAGCTTTTGCCCTTTTCCGCGTTAAAAATGCTAGACCGTGTTTACGGTTCACGACGAGTGTAGCTCATTATATAAGAAAATGACACATTTTTTTGAATTTCTATTTGATGCTATAGACTAGCATCAACACCACTTCCAAGCACTGATTGGTTCATATATCTTGGTGTGGTGTCCCATTCTATAGCACTCAGAGGGGTCTGCGGCTGCGTTGCTACAACGAACTGAACAATGCACCCGAACCCCTTCCATTGAACAGGACCCGCGGTCACCTGGAAACGGGGAGTAGCAATCAATAGATGCGAAGTCGATTTAAAAAGAAGAGAAAAAGAAAACCCCGACTGAAAATGATATTTGTGCAGTCGTAAAAACTCTCTGCATTTGCACAGTACTTGTGTCCGCTTTTCTACAAGATGCGCAAGCAAATAATCATGATCTCGTTTGGAATGGACAAGCGGTGTCAATACGGGCTGCAATTGAAGTATCTGTTTTTCATCCGGTTTCATTAGTTATAATTGAGTGTTTTAACGTAGTTAAAAGACAAAAATATATAATGAATAAAACAGTACCATGTTAACTTTTGAAGATAAAGGGATCATCAAATGGGTAAAATCTTTATAGATGTAGAGAGACAAGATGAAGAATGATTTTTTTTATTTTTTTATGGATGTAATTTTTTTTTTTAAATAGATAGAAGGCGACACCTCGTCGCACAAAAATGATAATTTTACCTACTTAAAAAAAGATTATGACCTTCTTTATTAATCGGGGGGGGGGGGGGGTGAGGGCAAGAAAAATGTTCGGCGTAAATAAAGCGTGATGATGTCAGAAAGGGCAGGAATTTTTAGAAAGGAAGCTGGCTGAAAGGAAATCTTGTTGTTGAAAGTCAATACGTATTTGGATGGTGAACGTCGTCGGCGAGAGAGAAAATTTATGTTATCGAGTCAGCCAATGGTAGAGAAGAGAGATACCCAACCCTTCGCAGAGACAGAATATGTTAATTAGTCCGGCATTCCTAGCCTGTAGCATTTAAACATGTCTGCATACACACACTCACATCTTGAGGAGTCTTGAATTACAGCTCCTTTCGAGCACTTGGTAAAATGTAAATTGATCATCTTGAGATGGTTTAGAAACAATTGTCCCAAAAACATGCATCATTGGAGCGCTTTGGATAATGTTTTTATCCCTCAAAATGACATGATACATTAAATCATGAAATAAAATGCGTATAGTTAGGATTGATAATTAAGCTCGATCGTAATGTTTCATTTTGTACAAGTCGTAAACGAATAAATCCCTACTCAGACTAGTTATTCTGAAATGAAATTTGTTCCGACAAATTCCGAGGAGCCCTTTGAAAATCGATACATTGCGCAGTTCACACCTCGACAAATTCGTTTCAAAGTTCGAAACTCTTCATTGCTTTGTAACCTAAATTAACTCCGTATAAAATACCACCATACATCAGACAGACATTGAAGAGGTGAAATGAGCATATTTCGTGATTTTTCCCTTTAATACAGGTAAATTACTCACCAAGAACGAGCGAAAATTAAGACACGGATGAGACGATACGTCTTAGATCCTGGCAGGCAGAGACGAAGAGTGAAGATGCACGGAACACTGCTACCCCACACACGGATGAAAATTAGAATTACTCGCAACCAGGGTATAGTCACGTGATCCAAGATAACGTGACGTCATCGCGTGGCGTTAATATTGATTACAAAACTGCTGAGGTGTGTTCACTTCTGGTTGAATAGTATGCCCACAATGCACTTCCAAGTTTGAATAGTACCAGCTTTTGGGCATTTCCATTATCAACATTACTCCTGAACGAATACCCGGCATAACACCTGTATGATAGCATACATGATTGTGGTTGCATGGAATCCACGGTAGGCCTACATAATTAATTAACTGATGTAAGGTCGGGCAAGTTCATTTGAGCAAGCTTTAGCGGCATCATGTCAAAAGAGGGTTTAATTCAATTCAATTCAATCTGGTTCAAGAAGTAAGAATAAAATGAAAAATCAGTTTATTTTTATGAAATCTTATTCTTGCTTTTTCATCATATAAAACATGGCATATATTTTTTATTTTATATACTAGCAAAACATGAACAAAATTTATTTCGAGGTAGTTTCTACAACTGAAAAAATCCAGTCATTCAGGCATATCATTCTGATTCTAATTAGCACGATATATACTTGAACCGGCTGTCCATACATGTGCAAATCTCACTCAGGCCGTGTTAAGCAAGTCATAGTTTTTCTCAAACAAAGTACCATATACCATGGGCAGCAAATGCGAAATATAGACATTGTATGGTGGCAGATCAAAGAATAATACCGATGGGACATTATTGTTCATAGGCCTTTAATTTAGCTGGGAGGTTGGGAGAGAGAGAGAGAGGGGGGGGGGGGGTGTCTTTCGGCCCTCCAGATCCATTCGTGTAAATACATGGTTTTATCTGTATGACCTTTACCAGCACAATAATTCAAGATCCAACACGCTCATACAGCCTCTTTTTGACATTTGCAAAAATCATGGCTGCACTCCACACATAAAACTTCTTGCAATCTCACTTGAAAGCCATGCATTTAAACTCTGCCACATAAAACATGTCTTTCTTTCTTTCTTACTGTCTTCTTCTTCTTCTTCTCCTTCTTTTACCTTTCTTTTTCTTCTTCTTCTTCTTCTTTTTCTGCTTCTTCTTCTTACAGAATGGTCCAGATATTGAAGCGTTAATTGTATCAATAATTATGGCTATGGATATGTAAAACCCATCAAACTATACGTGAACTGTTCTTTTCATAGTTTTTTTTAAATTATTAATATGACTTAAATAACCAATTAAATGCTATACTATAAGTCAATTGTTTATTTGGTTTGATTTTCTTCCTTCTATTTCTGTCACCAATATCGATATTTATATTAGAGCTCCTGTTTATAAATATATTATTGATTTAAATTTTCAATAAAATGCCTCAACAAAAGAAAAAAACTTTCAACCCCTCAATTGAAATACACTGTTGGTCATAATGGTGGAATAATTACTTTTACCCCAAGTTATGGAATGATTTGGACAATGATTTATTCCTAATAGATCTAAAAAATAGTATACATTCTATTTGATTGAATATATATATTTGCGAGTGTTTGTTTTGCGTGACTGCTAAAGCGGGTGTGTGCTACTATGCTAATCAACTAGGGACCTACGTCCTTCAGTCATAACTGACAGTAATGAGGATTTATGCCTCACAAAAGGGCACTAATATAGCTGATCGACACGGTTTTTATTCTGGGGCCTCACAGTAATGAGGCCATTGCTTAGCCACTGAATCATGACTCTACGCAGCGGGGGCTAGGGTACGTCGCCGCCCCCACAAATACAAAAAAAAACGAAAATGCAATCAATTATCAATGAGTTCATTGCATTTCCCCCGGTCCCCAACAGGAAAAATTCCTTTGTAGGGCCATGCATTATTGTTCAAGGCATGCCCACATAGAGGATTTTTTTATGTGTAGGACTCGTAGAGTAGTGTACTCAAATAAAACTGTCTATATTTTATCCATTGTATGTTTTATACTGGGGTGTAATAATGTTCATGGTAGTTAACAGTATCTCGAATAAATGTACAGCCATTTAGGCTATTACGATAATAAAACTAAAATCAAAACCTATGGTTACATAAACCAAAGCAAAAATATAATTAGGCCTATGGGGATTCTCTTGACTGCATAATATCCTTTCAAAAGAGAAGACATCCATCCAATACGAGGACAGAAGCTTGCATGGGCTTCCTAACTTGAACATTTCTTTCTTTAACTCCTACCTAAATTATGGCTGTCAGAATTATGTAAGTCCAACGGAAAACAATAAAGTAAAATAAATTACTTTGACATCGATTTCCTTGACTTGGTGAATATGATAACCAATTTATTTATGTTGTGTTGAAATCCAGCATAAGCTACAGCTCTGTAGTACTGACATGGCAAATTTCAACACATTATAATTTGTACAACATAATTTATGACACACGATCGCTGAGTAATTATTCAGCTCCAGGACTTTGTGTCCAGCAATAATAATTTATTAAGTGATAATTGCCAATGCTATATGGATAATGTATTAAATGAACGATACTGAGAATCATATTAATAACAATAAGTGCCTCAACATGGTCAATTATATTGAACACAACCATAATGCGCATCCCCAGTACACTATAAAAATGATCACAATTTCTGTCTTCACGAGTTATTTTTATGCAATATACATACATGTAGATAATGCGAAGCTTGATGCGACCAAACTAAATATACATAAATTATGGTTCCTTATCCAACTTTGTTGTTATATTGAGCTATAGTTACATTATATTTGGCACATGAGTTAGGAATGAAATGTTATTAATGCTTTACACAAGCGAACCTCTTTTTTTGCCCTTGCGGATCTTATATTTCACCTCGAGTTATTTTTTACTGCAATGTACATGTACATACACAGCTGCCAATGTGTGTCAACATGAAGTGGGTCGAGTTACGGATTGTACTTTGTAGTGGACTAGAAATCAGGTTTATTTTTTCTAGACTGACAGGTCTCAATCATGCTTCATGACGTCATTCGCGTAGATTCGTATAGCATTGGCATGGTTTTCATGGGGAGAGGGCAGCTCAGTCGTAGTGTAAGTAGTGTAAGCTGGTGCATACAATCCGGCTTTCATCGAAAGGGTGCGGTGCGGTGCGGCGCGGTGTGGTGTGCTCAACGCACCCATTCGATAAAAGAGGGGGGCCTTTTCTCGAAAGGGTGCGTTGAGAGCGGAGTACCGTTTTAACACACCCTTTCGATGAAAGCGGGGGGGGGGGGGGGGGGGGGGGGGGGGGGGGGGGGGGGGGGGGGGGGGGGGGGGGGGGGGGGGGGCTTTTCTCGAAAAGGTGCGTCGACTAGTCTTTCGCATCAGTCGTTTAAAATGAGGATCTCGGACAGAAGGTAATAGTTGCCAATTTAAGTATATCGAAAATGTATTAAATAAAATGGAATGGCCTTGATTACAGAGTGGTCTCTTTGATGGGGAGACAGAGAGAAGGAAAAAAGAAAGGGAAAGGGAAGATAAAAGGAAAGAAAGAAGAATAAGAAGAGAAGAGGGAAACGGGGGGGGGCGAAGGACTCTTGCCCCCCCCCCCCCCCCCGCCAAAAAATAAATCAGAGAGAGAGAGAAGGGAAAGGGAAAGGGAAAGAGAAGATAAAAGGAAAGAAAGAAGAAAAGAGGGAAACGGGGGCAAAGGGCTTTTGCCTCTCCCCCCCCCCCCCCCCACCAACAAATAAATAGTAGAGAGAGAGAGAGAGATAGAGAGAAGGGAAAGGGAAGGGAAAGAAATATAAAAGGAAAGAAAGAAAAAGAAGAAGAAGGAAAGAGGGAAACGGGGGAAGGGCGAAAGGGAGAGAGAGAGAGAGAAAGAGAGAGAGAGAAGGGAAAGGGAAATGGAAAGAGAATATAAAAGGAAAGAAAGAAGATCGAGGAAGAAGAATAAAAAGAAAAGAGGGAAACGGGGGCGAAGGGCTCTTGCCTCCTCCCCCCCCCCGCCAACAAATAAATAGGAGAGAGAGAGAGAGAGAGAGAGAGAGAGAGAGAGAAGAGAAAGGGAAAGAAAATATAAAAGGAAAGAAAGAAGAAGAAGAAGGAAAGATAGATACGGAGGAAGGGCGAAAGGTTCTTACCTCCCCCCCACCACCTCCCGCCAAAAAAATAAATAACAGAGAGAGAGAGAGAGAAGGGAGAGGGAAAGAAATCTAAAAGGAAAGAAAGAAGATGAAAAAGAATAAGAAAAGAGGGAAAGGGGGCGAAGGGCTCTTGCCTCCCCCCTGCCAACAAATAAATAAGAGAGAGAGAGAGAAGGGAAAGGGAAAGAAAATATAAAAGGAAAGAAAGAAGAGGAAGAAGAAGAAGAAAAGAGGGAAACGGGGGCGAAAGGCTCTTGCCTCCCCCCCCCCCGCCAAAAAATAAATAAGAGAGAAAGAGAGAAGGGAAAGGGAAAGGGAAAGAGAATAAAAAAGGAAAGGAAGAAGAATAAGAAGAAGAAAAGAGGGGCTCTTGCCTCCTCCTCCCCCCCCCCCCGCCAAAAGATAAGTAAGAGAGAGAAGGAAAGGGAAAGGGAAAGAGAAGATAAAAGGAAAGAAACAAGAGGAAAAAGAAGGCAACGGGGCGAAGGGCTCTTGCCTCCTAGCCCTCCTTCCCCTCCCCCCCCCGCCAAAAAAATAAATAAGAGAGAGAGAGAAGGGAAAGGGAAAGAGAAGATAAAAGGAAAGAAAGAAAGAATAAGAAGAAAAGAGGGAAACGGGGGTGAAGGGCTGTTGCCTCCTCCCCCCCCCGCAAAAAATAAATAAGAGAGAGAGAGAGGAAAAGGGAAAGAGATGATAAAAGGAAAGAAAGAAGAGGAAGAAGAAGAGAAGAGGGTAACGGGGGCAAAGGGCTCTTGCCTCCTTTCTTTCCTATTCTCCCTCTTTTTCGTTTTTCTCTTTCTTTCTTTTCTTTCTCTCTTTTCTTTCCTTTCTTTTCTTTTTCTTTTCTTTTTCTTTTTTTCTTTTCTTTCCCTTTTACTCTCTTTTTTCCTCCCCCTTTTCTCTTTTTTCCCGACGGCAGCGCAATTTTACCG